CACCACCGCCAACTCTTGGACGACTATTTTACCAACGAATAATGGGATTGACCGTCACATTATAACGCCCCTGAAAGGGCGAGCATGTTTGGTGTGACCCACAGATTGCGAGTCGAGCATCCTAACCACCTGGCCATGCCGGACCTAGATGTTCAGATAAAAAAATTGTTGTATTAAAGCTTACTCTGGAACACCAACTTGGAACTTGCATACAGTAGAGGTATTATTAATTCTAAAACAAAAAGGACAAACTTAAACTTGTCAGAAAACGTGCTGCGAGCAATATTCCATATATTCCCTATTTCGGATGCCACCAGCTAATATAGTTGATTAATTAACAACAGATGAAATTTACATTGATTGGTTGATAATGTTGTTTGAATTAGATATGCTTACACGTCTTGTACTCTGAAGGTGTTATAAGATATTAAATATTTTCTTGAATTTTTTATACAAAATATTAATAAATAAATCATTAGAGGGGCTTACAAGATACGTCTTTACAACTACTAAAGTTCCTTACAGATGATATTAATATTTGTTCCATCAATATAGCCTGCGAATAGAAGTCAGAGATCAATATAAATAGTTTAGTGTCTCAATTTCCACATCTATCATGAATAACGTCTAACCAAAAGTAAGCTAATTGTATAGATAAGAATTAAAAAGTAACTTATAAATTAAAATACTTAATGTCACCAACCAAAACACAAGACTAAAATATAATGATAAGAATACATTAAATTATTAATTGACAGATTTGTTTTAGTATATATCATTCTAAAATATTGCAATAATGTTTAGTTATGTGTTAATGATAAAGATATTTCTACTAGTAACGTTAAAGCACCACTCGCATGATTCATTATACACAAGGGGGCATTATAACGGTCGGTAAATCCCACTGTTCGTTGGTAAAAGAGTAACCCAAGAGTTGGCGGTGGGTGGTGATGACTAGTTGCTCTAGTTTTTCACTGCTAAATTAGAGAGGGCTAGCGCAGATATCCCTCGTGTAGTTTTGCGCAAAATTCAAACCAAACCATTATACACAAAGTTGGTAGAAACTGTTCGACTTGGCGTTTTAGCAAAACTTACTAATTAACCGATTTTTTGTTAGAACATATTAGAGCAATTTTACGCTTTGGTTTGGTCTTTTTCTCATTAGTAGAATCTTTCATATAATCAAACCACCTTGTTAAAATTTACAATAATTAAATTCAAACTCTTATAGGTATATAAATTGGTACATTAGTGTATGTTTTATTTTATGCGCTACAACACACGATAACATTTCCCCATTTTTTGTTATTATTACAATTTTGCTGAGACTATATCCAGCAAACTATCGAAAAGTAAAACAAAATCTACTAATCAGTATGATATGTTAATTTAAGGTAAGTTATTAACACAAGTTTGTTGAGACTGTATCCTGCAAACTATCGAAAAGTAAAAAAAAAATTTTAAAAAATCTGCTGATCAGTATGATATGTCAATTTAAGGTAACAATATTAATGCCAAGAAGTTCTTTGTCAGCTGGTGATCTTGATAACCCAGTTTAGGGTAATACTTTTGATATGTTTTGTTTGTTTTTAATTTCGCGCAAAGCTACACGAGGGCTATCTGCGCTAGCCGTCCCTACTTTAGCAGTGTAGGACTAGAGAGAAGGCAACTAGTCATCACCACCCCCCGCCAACTCTTGGGCTACTCTTTTACCAACGAATAGTGGGGTTGACCGTCACATTATAACGCCCCCACGGCTGAAAGGGAGAGCATGTTTGGTGTGACGGGGATTCAAACCCGCGACCCTCAGATTGCGAGTCGAGTGTCGTAACCACCTGGCCATGCCGGGTGACTTTTAATGTAGTTTTAAATAAGTTTAAAATAAAACAGATAATCGAAATACTTCTTGTTAGAGAAAAACTTTATTTTATTATCTGAAAAAGATTTTACAACGTGATAATACCTTTGTGCAAAATATTAAGGCAGAGAGTGTGCAAAAAACGAACAGATTTATTTCATTAACCAACAATATCAAATTAAAGGGTATTCCTGTAAGAAACTGTGACAACAGTTGTTTTAGCGGTACCTGGTACGGATAACTGATATGTTTTTTTGATAGCAGTTTTCTTTCTGAACATAAGCACAATCAAGTTTTATTTGGTAATTCAATATATAATTATTCCTTAAAGTTAGGTTGTTTCATCAGGGCTGACTTTCTGTGAATTTTTCGAAGCATTGTATAATCTAGTTTTTGCAATTGTGATTAACCCTAGTTTGTGATTCTATATGCTTTCTCAGCATCATAATTATTTGTACCACGAGATGCCGCATCGATTTTTTTCCTTTTCAAAAAGTTTCCTTTTAAAGCTAGTTAGACGTTTCAGTCGTCACATTCACATCACAAAGAAATATAGGAACACATTGGAGAAAAACAATATTTGTAGTACTCAACGTCAAATAGTACTAACAGTATTAAGAATTATTTCAAATCTTTTATATAAACACACAAATACATTTGACATGAAACAGCTGTCCAAGATGATATTTCAGGAATTAATATGTTAACCTGTACAATAACATAATTAATTTTACACATATCTACATCTATGTATATAGATATTGGAAAATGAACAAAATTATTAGTTTTACTATAACAATATATAGCTCCATAGTACCAGTGCTGTATATTTCAATAAATCCATGCACGGTACAAGATTGTTAAATCGCGTAAGGTGGCGTATAAGAAAAGAAATTCATATTGTGGAAGAATGATACGAGTTTATTTTTAGATATACACATATAAATTTACTAAACGTTAACATTTCTAAGGTATTTTATCACTCGAGTAGTAAATGGTGCAAAGGCACATTTAAGTGATTGTAAACGTACACTGGACACGTCTCACGATGACTGGACATGTCTCATCATGTTTAAATAATTTTAGTTTTTTGAACTCAATCATTCAACAGTTCGAATAACTACTTTGCTATTTAGATGGCATATAATACTTATTCAGTTATGTGTTGCTTAATACAGTTATAAATGCTATCCCTAAGTAATATTTTTGACTGAAATTTTCAATGGGTACTCAAATCAAATAGAGGAGCAGTAAAGACCGTAAACCACCGTGTTTTTTTTTTCAAGTCCTGGTCTTACAATTGTTCGAAATGTGCACTGTCGATATCACGACACAGTGCTACTACAGGATTACTTCCATACGTTCTTTAAACGTTAATGACATCACAAAAGAAAACGTCACAGTTAATGAAGCAGAGAAGATTAAATCAACCTATATATATACAATATTTTTCGTCTTTTTTAAACGAAAAACAAACAGCTTATTTCAAAT